CCCAAGTCTTTTTCTTGTTCATACAAAGGAATTCAACAAGGAATATTCTGAAATCAAAATAGATCGTGATCTTTTATCTACGGTGTGTTCGAATGAGTTGTATGGAATGAACAACAATATTTCAGTCAAGATCGACCTACCAAATCCTTGGAGGACTAAAGCTGGAGGGAAAATCTTACGACATGTGCCAATCAGCTTGTATGCTGATGACACTTCTGGAAATATTTCGAAGCGCTGGAATAAACACCTATCTTTTTACTTCACTTTATCTGGCCTTCCTCCAAATCTGTCCAACCAAGAATTCAATTGCCACTTCTTGGCTACTTCGAATCGAGCTGGTGTTTTAGAGTTAGCCGAGATTATTGTTGATGAATTAAAGTATGTAGATTTCCTTCATAATAGCTGTTGGATCCTGCTAATTTCTGTTTTTGAATATTTATGAACCTTTGAATTTTGATGTAGTGACCTTGCCACCAATGGATTTGAAGCATACGATGCAGCAATTTCTGAGCCGGTTTTCGTCATGACTAGTGTTCTATTCTTTCTAGGGGATTCTCCGATGCACTCCAAAATAACCAACACCCCTTATCCTGGTTCTGCACTTAATCCGTGTCGTATTTGCACACTCTCTGCGCCAAGCCTAGCCGCCAAACATCGAAAGGATTTCATGTACAAATTCTTGCATCTTGATCGACATGGAAACGTGACAAGAAATCGACCCAGAGTGTGGCTAGAAACCGTCAAACAGACTCACAAGCTTTTCAAGGTGGCGACAGAAGATACTATTGCCGCTTTTGACACTCTGTCAAAAGAGTATGGTGTCAAAGATTGGATTAACGAGAAGTTCATTGAACAGCAAGGGATTGCCGAAGTCAAAGCAAAAATCGATGACCTGAAGGCCAATAAATTTTCGCGCTTGTTCAACCCTTTCTTGAGACTGATTTTCAGCGCCGGTCTCTTATGTGACCTGGCGTTGATGGGGTTTACGGGTCACACTATAACTGCTAGTGGTACTAGCAGCCAATGGATTAGAAACCTCGCCTCGACGCTAGAAAGCGGAGGGGTTAAGCTCCCTGTAAATGTAGGGGACGCTTGCGGTAAGGTCTTCGCAGCGCCGGGCTTTAGAGGAATGATCAACTCTCTTCTAGTCTACAGTATTGACTTTACTGTAGCCTAGGGATGAGATAAAGGATAAGGATAAGGATAAGGATAAGGGGGGTGGATAGTAATAGATTAAATGATAACCCCACTCACAATTGTATGTAAGGTGCACGGGTTGTATGGTAATAATCTCTGGGGGGAGGGTTCTTGGGAAGAAGACCTCCCCCTTAAGTATTACAAAGGCAGGGGTCAACCTGCCTGTGAGACCGGTGAGGCCTGCAGAGGATCATTTATGTATGTAATCATAAATGATCAAAATATGTATTTAAATTAAGCTTTAAACTAAAAGTGGAGGAAATGATGTCATTCAAACTCAAAGGAGAAAGAATGATGTCATCTCTCTAATTACAGTGTATAGAGAGATGATTAAGATTTCAAACTGTATGTATATAAAATATGTATATTAATACAGAGGTGAATACTTAAGTAATTCCGTGGAATTACTTAAAGCATAAAAATATAAAATAAAATAATAAAAAGATAAGATTACATAATTGGGGTTTGAACCCAAGTGTGTTGGTGAGGCAAAGTCATAACACAGTCTTTAACCAATACACTACAGTACATGTGTTTGTTGGTTAAGTACAGGTTGTAGACACATGGGCTACAGCCTCAGTGTCTGACACTGATAGGTCAGCTTCATCATAGATACAGCATTTCTTTCTTGGTTTAATATTGATTGCTTTTCCATACAGGTTTTGATGGCTGCCTTGAACTCCGGGTGAGATTCTTCACGTTTTTTTCCTTCGGGGTTGTCAAGTATCTGGTCCACGATTTTGTTGGCAAGCTCTCTGAGAAACAAAAAGACGAACTCGAGGGCCGTATCGAGTCATTCAACACCAGCTCGTTGAATATGCCAAAGCTGCAACCCAAATATCTAGTTTCGCATGTCAAATCATTAATCGGCAAGGAGTTTAAAATCTTCCTTCAAGCTGCTCCATTCATCCTTTTCCCTTTTATGGATGAAGATCAAAGAGAAATTTTGATTTCTTTATGCACCCTCTCTTCTTATGCCTTTCAGACACACATCAATAACATGGAAGATTTCCAGCTCAATCTTTGAAGACACACAGCCAACTTTTTATATCGGATCATACGAGTCACTGCCCAGTGGGTGAACAAACCAAAGTTTCATATTTTACTTCATCTTGCGGATTCCATCCGTCGGTTTGGACCCGCTACACTCTTTTCAACGGAAAAGTTCGAGTCGTATAACGGTGTTCTCCGGACTGCATCAACCCATTCGAATCGAATTTGCCCTGGAAGAGACATTGCAATTAAGTTTGCTAACTTCCATGCCCTACGATTCTCCTTATCCGGTGGTGTTTCATACAATAAAAACAGTCAAACTGCTACTCAATCCTCGCCTGAGCTTCTCGACTTTTTTCGAAACACCAGGTCCATCCAAGACTCAATGGGATATGATCCAACACTTTCCGTCTTAATCCCAAATTATCCTTTTTATGAAGAATATCAAGTTGAACAAAGATGACAAAGTAAACTGCCCTACAGCATTACAAGATCAATTTCCAACTCGCGAATTTGAACAAGTATCTTCTCTACAGCTAAATAAACACGAGAATATCAAAAAGGATCATTTTGTTCTGGTATAAATCTCCTGCTTGTTTTCTATGTTTTGAGAATCTAATAAGTGTTTTTTTGCAGGTAAATTCGGTCAGGTCAGGAAAGTATATTGGACAGGTGAATTCCATATGGAAATCGGCAGCATCTTTCTTTGTGCATATCACCAAGATGAAGAGCTCAAAGATGAATGCGTTTTATATGATGAGGGGATTTGAAAAGACAGGTGAAACCTGTTCCATTATGCCAAAAGTAAGCTTGAGTCAGACACACATCTTACATTCCCAAGCATCCTCTTCTGATTACTCCATGTGATTTTTGGCTTTTTAAGGACATCGTTGTAACTTTAAATCTCCAGCACAACTGCCACGATGGAAAATGTCCAATCAAGAAAACAAAGATGGTTCAAGCCAAGAGACAAGATACGCCAGTACGAGTTCAGCAAGTGTGCCATACAGATTCCAAACACTATATTCTCAACTCCGTTTCTTTTCATGAAAGCAAAGAACATCGACACATGAACAACCTGATATTTCATCAAATCGATTCAGAAGATGTTGTTGAAGCAATGTCTGAAGGCTATCTCAAATGGAAAGCACACTGTCAAAAAACAATGCCTCAAAAGAAAAAGAAAGTAGGTAAAAAATGGGTAAATATGACATCTGAAGAGGAGTGGGGCTCTTCTGGATATTCTGAATGAATATCTCTTTATTCTTTGTATTTTTCCTTGATAAGCTTAGAACATCATTTACTCTTTATGCTATTTTGGTTTGAGTCAACAGTGGTAGCATCTGCAATTCATTATGGCAACAATGCCTTGAGACTATTGTTGTGCTTCTCTCAAACAAGGAAGATCCACCAGTCTTCATCTGGCAGATTGTGTAAGTGATAAATTTACTATGGATCCATCAAATCTTTCCAATTCAAAGAGAACAATTTTTGAGTGCAAGTAACATCCAGAGGGTGGGTCATGGCTGGTTGAACTTATCAAAGTCCTTCCAAGGCCTAACTGGTGAAAGTTGGCATGCCAGGAAATGCGCGCACTTTGGACGCACCCAGCCAAAGCACACCACATTTTGTTGTCCACAAAAATTCAGGTGCGCGCACTGGCAACGACAACCAAAGCCCCTGGTCGAGCTTAGCGCAATTTCCTTCGGAGGGAAATTGGAATCATGGTCAAGGGTTGGAGAACGGACAGACCATGCTGCCCGATTTCGTTCACCCAACAGTGGAAGGTTCTGTTGGGTGAACAAAATCTGGTTGACAACGTCGGTGGCAAGGGAGCGACCCACCAACAGTCAAATGGTCCTGCGAACGGAGCTCCAACCCAACCGTTCAGTCAACCTGGGCGGATGGGGTGGACCACAGTGCACAAACGGTCATATAACATGGCCGTTCAGCCACTGTGGTCCACCCCATCCTCCAACCAATGGGTTGTATCGCGGTTGGAGGATCGTTGTACATCCAGGATGGTTCCATAACCACCCACCCACAGAAAATGTGGCCCGGTGGTGTAGTGTTGGCAAGAAGAGTGCACCCGTACCGCGACGGATGTGAGTCGTGGGCTTTCCACGAGTCTTTGGAGCGATGTCCAGGCACTGGAATACTGTGACTTTGAAGAAGGACGCGTCTGAAAGAACGTTAAATCATAGTCAAAAAACCATTATGGTAAGACATGGCCGTTCATAGGTGGGCGTACAAAAAGCAAGGGCAGAAACGACTTCAGTTTTTTTGGGGGAAGCGCATACATATGTATGTAAACATTTACATAAATACATACATTTATATACACTCAATCATTGACAACAGAAAAAGAAAAAAAAAAAACTTGGTAACAGAAAATGAGCGAAGATGAAAGAAGGACGCAGGACTTGGGAAGCTTGGAGGAGTGAATTTTGACGATTGACTACATTAGATTTGTTCTTAGTATCTTGTTTCAGAGGAAATGTATTATTCTGAGTGGGTGTTTGTAGCCTTGAATCACAACGCAATGGTGATTGTGATGGTTTTTCTAAGAGTTGTTGACAGTTTTTTGAAGGTATTAATTAACAAACCTCTGGAAACGACTACATATTTTGATATGAGCATTGGAACCAAGTGGTCTGGTACGTCTAAATAAGCGATCGGAGAGTGAGAGAGAGAGATCCGAAAAAGATAAGAAAAAGTCTAACTATCCAGCGTTAACGTAAGTCTGTCTGATTTTATTTAACCGGCTGATGAAGTGGTTATACAAGTTGTCTAAGTTTGAAAGAGTTTTATCAGCTTCGACGGATTGACAAAGCCCTCGAATCTCGCGTTTCATCAATCGTAATCGGTCCGGACTCGGCTTGGGATCGGAGTATCGATAGTTTTTCTTGAGAGCCGGGGTCTGCTCTCGTAAAGGTTTGATGAGCTTCTTGAGCTTCTTGAGCAGATGCATCTTCCAATCTGTTTTTTGTCCGTTGTCCATCGTTTTGTTTGCGGGGTAATCGGTGCAGCAATGCGGATTTGATCGATTTATAAGAGAGTCAAGTTGACAAGGTATGGGAAAAAAAAAGACGACCATTAGCGTCCGAAAAGGATAATCGAGAAACAAAAGGGAACAGGAGATGGGTCAAGGCAGAGAGAGAGAGAGAGATCAAGGAAAGAGGCAGGCGGAGACCAACGTTTGAAGAAATGATACTCCATAGCCCGTTTCGCGCAATCTTCCCCAGAAATCAATCTGGCACTTTTCTTCGTGATATGCATCAGATCTGGATCTAATTTGAATTTGTGCTGTTTGCCTTCATCTTCTTCTATCTCCGAGTCCCACTCATCATCATCTTCTTCATCTTCATCTTCATTGCCAGTCTCGGAACCGGACTCAGATGATCTTTTCGGCTTGATTGGATTCAAATTGTATGGGTTGTACGGTATACCCTGTGTGGTTGATTGATTTCGAAAAGCGAGAATATGTCAGTTGATTCATTTGGACTATTGTGATTATTATCAACTTAGAGGGGAAAGAAAGAGACTGACGGCTAGTAAGAGGATCTTCCTACTGAATTTGGTTCGGTTGCGACAAGCCCCACATCCTTTGCCGCCTTGATGGTTGTACTGTTCATAGATGTAAGGTCGGCTCATCAGTTGAGTTCTAAATTTGAGGGTCCAGCCCGATGACCTATATCGCACACACCAGCACAAAAATGAGTAGAGATAGTCCGTGATTAGCGATAGAGCCTTTAATTCTCATTCACAGTCTGGGAGGGGAAACTGATAAGCTGGACGTGACGCTCGTACTGACTCCAAGGGTTGCACGCCGTATGAATGGAAATAAGTTTCCAAATGTTTGCAGCTTTGGTCATAATCCTCTCTACCTGTAATCAAATAAAATAAATGAGATTTGTAAGGTCAATAGGTTAACATGCTTTTTTTCTTCTTCTGTGGGAAAGCAAGTTCACAAAATACGCGTTAATAAATGAAGGCAGAAAACTCACATTGCCTCCAATCGATTTGAGGAAGTATAATATGGTGGATGAGGTATTCACCTACATGAGTCGAATAGCATTGAACGTGAGAGGGGTAAGCTTAGAGGCGAGAAGGAGAGTTTTATGGGGTATTTGGAAGATAAGGAAGTACTGACAGACGACCATGAAATGAGTGCGATTATCTAGCTTGCCGCTTCTGAACATCACCGGCATGTAGGTATCGATTCGTCTTTGGGCTCGGTTCTTTTGGGCAACAGTAGCCAAATCATCGACGATGAACTCTTCCTGCTTTCTTTCGCGCTCTGCCTCATCCGTTTCGCTTGAGCCATCCTCGCTACTACTCCCACTCTCACTCTCCTCTTCGCTATCATCATCATCGTCATCATGCGACTTTTCAGGTTTTGTCGCGCTTTTCGACGGGTCCCCTTCGACCTCGACGTCCGAATCCGGCACGATCCTCTTCGAATTTACCTCCTTGTTAATCGATTTCTTCTTCTTCAATTGCTTTCGTAACTTCCTTAATTTAGCGAATCGTTTTCTCTCAACCGGTTCTCGCTCCCTCAACTTGGTCTCCGGCTCTTCATAATCTGAGAGTACAATATCACCTATATCTGAGTCTTCATCTGGATCCGGGGATTCGTT